GGGGGGGGGGGGGGGGGGGGGGGGGGTTAGGAGGGGTTAAAGCCCCTCTCCCCCCCTAGAATCTCTCTGACCCCACCAAAATTTCATTTCACTCTCCTATTTTGTGTGAAAGTCTTTAACCCTAACCCCTGCCGAAGCTCGCTCAGTGTTGCCACTTGCACCCCACTAGAAATTTTTCTACCCCTCCTTTTAAAAAAATGAAAATCCGCCCTTGCTGGCACAGACCGCTTATTATCATACCTTCAATAATTTCCAGTGTTTCTTTATCCTGTTCATCAACAGTTATCCTACGTTTTCCTTCAGATATCCCCGACTGACCCTCTCTACCCTTCTGCCATTCATTCCTGATTCTCTGTCTATGTCCAGGGGGAGTGAGAACGACAACTTCACATAACAATTCTTCTCGAAGTTGCTTTAGCGCTGTGTCGGATACTGTACTATGGTGCTGTCAATCAAATACACAATGTCATGTAATTCACCTACATAATAAGCTACCACACGTTACTAATCGATACCCAATTTTCAGCATGCCTTATAGACCCATTGCACTGACGTCACAAATCCTTAGCGTGTCCTCCAGATGCTCCCTAACAATATCTGTTCGGGTACAACAACCACATACAGCGCAAAAATTAACCACTTTAATACAAAATTATTATAAACTTTTACAAAATTTGCTTTGTTTACAAAAGTTATATTATGCACAGATTGCTAATTTGTCCTCCAGATGCATCGTCACCGGCGCTGTGACGTCATGTGCAATGGGTCTATATCCACGGTTTGATAAAAATTGTAAAAGAAAGAACATACTTTTTGGCCACTTTTAATAAAATGTGCAAACCACTTCCTCACATGGATATCACTTCCCAAAAGTAGACCGCTCAGAAACTCAACCAAATCTCGTCTCTCGTTGCTACCAAGACGACAGTCCAGTGTAAGTTTAACAGTCAGTTCAGGTAGGCAACATCTCTGGATGGCTTCGCTACGAATCGTCATAGAGTAATCAGGGTTCATTTTACAGAGGTGGTGTAGGGCCTCGGTTTGGACATAGGATGGAAATGGATTGTTCGATTTTGTGTCTTGGTTCATTAGCAGGGTTGAACATACTGTAAAATAGATCAGAGAAAATATAAGAAATTAAACTAAATTTATTTATACAGTTATAAACTGTTCTCCATAGAGGCCCAGTAATCCCTTGTTTAACTAAATTTATTTATACAGGATCCACAGTCAACCAACCATTTTGTTTATACTGATGTCGACACCTTAACTACTGTAGCTCTGTCTAAACTGTGGTAAAACTGTGTTCCCGTTAGATCCAGTGTTACTGCAATAGAAAATTAGAGTACCTGAACAACACCTGGAATGTTTGGTAGAAACAAACTGCAAGCAATTGTCTTACATGGGACTGAAAAAATTATATTATCATGCAACAACTGCACGCTGCAGGAATCGAACTTTACTCTGCCAATATCTTTAAATGTGAACAAAATTAATAATTAATAAGCAAACATATTTACCTTGTTCAAAGTAATCGGGAAAATTGACAAGCAAACGACAGATAAACCATGGACCGTTTGGGACTCTTAACAAAGCCTTGGAAACCTCAGTCAAGGGGAATAGTTCAGGAAGTTCTAGGAGAGAACAAGATTTAACATCTAAGCATGTCTGAACATTGATTTTTTTATCTTCAAACAGTTTAACTGCACAGGCAGCAGAAGTTTGGTTCAGTTGGAGGCTAAACAAACTCTACCTGGGGGTTCCAGGGGCATGCCCAACTGGAAAATGTTTGAAATATAGGAAGATTTGACATGCAGAAACCTCAATTTAACTACAGTAGCTCCTACAACAACTATTGCAAGGCACATAACAGGCAATTATGAAAATTTAATATCTTAGCTCCCTCTTCTCTAG